CTTGCCTTTCGTCATCTTGAAGTCTCTCATCCAATATGATCGCTTCATTAGGATAGGAACAGATTGCCAAATCAAAAGCCTTCCTCAAACAAAGCTTAGTAACATCAATTGATTCATGAAATTCAATTTGAAACTTGATAGAAACAAAGTCAGAATGAGTACAAATCAAGTGTAATACTTCTTTACAGAATCAGAATTAACTGGACTGGAAAAAACACGACCATTCATCTCGGCCAAAATCAAAGCACCTCCTGGAAGGACTTTCTTCACAATGTACGGGCCACCGTAGTTTGGGGCGAATTTTCCTTCTGCAAGAGGAACTATCGGCAATAACTTCCGCAGGACAAGGTCACCTACCTGAAAATGTCGAGGCTTGACTTTCTTGTTGAAAGATTTAGCAACTCGTTGTTGGTAGCACTGGCCATGACATAGAGCTCTAAGCCTTATTTCATCAATCATGTTCAACTGGTCCAACCTCTGCTGGATCCAATATGCTTCTGACAATTGTACCTGTGAAAGAATACGTAACGAAGGAATTTGAACCTCAACAGGTAGAACTGCTTCCATACCGTACACAAGAGAATATGGAGTTGCCCCTGTAGATGTCCGGATAGAAGTTCGATATGCCATAAGTGCAAAAGGTAATCTCTCATGCCAATCACGGTAGTTCTCAGCTGTTTTAGCCAAAATTTTCTTGATATTCTTGTTGGCTGCTTCGACCGCTCCGTTCATCTGCGGACGATTTGGAGAAGAATTCAGATGCTTGATCTTGAACTTCTTGAACAGATCATCTACCAATTTATTGTTTAGATTCGACCCATTGTCAGTAATTATAGTTTCAGGTGCACCATATCGAGCAATGATGTCTCGACGAATGAACTTCACCACAATCCGGGCCGTCACTGTCGTATAGGACATAGCTTCGATCCACTTTGAAAAGTAATAGATAGCGACCAGGATAAACCGATGCCCATTTGACGCTTTAGGATTAATTGGGCCAATCATATCAATGCCCCACATAGAAAATGGTCATGGTTCAGACATTTGATGCAATTCATTCAGAGGAGTTTTAATCTTGTCACCATGGATCTGACATTTGTGACAACTTCGGACATGCTGAATGCAATCACTTTCCAAAGTGAGCCAGTAATAACCCATCCTCATTATTTTCCTTGCCAGCATATGACCATTCATGTGCGGACCACATACTCCCTCATGCACTTCTAGCATCAAACGAACAACCTCGGTTGAATCAACACACTTTAATAAAACCGAATCATAGGACCGCTTGTATAGGCATTCCCCGCTCAAGAAGAACTTCGTCGCCATTTTCCTGATATACTTTTGGTCAGATGCGGTACTTTTCTTAGGAAATTCCTGTGTTTGAAGATATGCCTTGATATCATGATACCACAGTTCGCCGTCAGGCTCTTCTGTCGTGGCCATGCAATAAGTCGGTTTCTGTAAGACCTCTATCTTCAAAGGTTCAACTTCTAAACCACTTGTCACTCGTAGCATTGCCGATAATGTAGCCAGAGCATCGGCAAAACTGTTTTGAGTCCTTGACAAGTATTCAAACGAAATGTCTTCAAACTCTTCCACCAACTCCTCCAGATAGACGTGATATGGCTGCAACTTAGCATCTCTAGTTTGCCATTTACCAACGGTCCGAAGAATAATGAGGGTTGAATCCCCGAACACCTTAAGTCAAGCTACTCCCATTTCAATTGCAGCTTGTAACCCGAGGATGCATGCTTCATATTCGGCGATATTGTTCGTACAAGGAAATATCAGTTTCGCTGCGACCGGATAATGTTGTCCGCCTGGAGATATTAAAACTGCCCCGATACCTGATCCTGACAAGTTTACGGCTCCATCAAAATACATGGTCCATACATACTCATCAATTGGCATGACTCTATCCTCTAACGGATCCAGATCTTCATTTTTCCCAGGATTTTCAGCCAAGACATCAGCAATTACTCGTCCTTTGACTGATTTCTGGGACATGAATCGAACATTAAATTCTGAGATGAGAATCTGCCATTTTGCCAGTTTTCCAACCAAAGCGGGTTGATTGAGCAAGTATTTGATGGGATCACACTCTGTCACAAGCAATATCTGATAGTGCAAAGTGTATTGCCTCAATCTGTGTAGTACCCAAACCAATGCTTCGCACGTTCTTTCTGCTTCAGAATAGTTCATCTCAGAGGCGGTGAATTTCTTACTCAAATAATAAATCGCACGCTCCTTTCCATCCTCTTCACTTTTCTGAGCAAGCATGGCACCTAAGGATTCACTATGGATTGTAAGGTACAGGATCAGAGGTTGCCCCGGCGTTGGTGGAACAAGCACTGGCGGATTCATCAAGTAGTGTTTAATCTTGTCGAATGCCAGTTCACACTCTTCATCCCATCTAACCAGCGCATTCTTCTTGAGGAGTTTAAAGAAAGGCTTCGCTGTCTCAGATAGCTGAAAAATAAATCTGGCAATATAGTTTAGTCTGCCCATTAAGCTACGAACTTCCTTCACCGAAGAGGGAGATTTTATTTCACAAATGGCTTTCACTTTTGACGGGTCAATCTCAATCCCTTTGTTACTAACAATGAAGCCAAGTAGTTTGCCAGAGGCTGCCCCGAACACGCATTTTGCCGGATTGAGGCGCAATTTGAACTTACGAAGCCTGTCGAATAATTTCGTCAAGGTTTCTATGTGATCTTCTCCACGTCGAGTTTTTGCAATCATATCGTCAACATAGGCCTCGATCTCTTTATGCATCATGTCATGGATCAACGTGACCATTGCCCGCTGGTAAGTTGCCCCAGCATTTTTGAGACCGAAGGGCATCACCTTGTAATGAAATGTCCCCCAAGGAGTGGTAAATGCTGTTTTCAACTTATCATCCTCATTCATCAAGATCTGATTATAACCTGAGAAACCATCCATGAAGGAGAATAGTTCGAATCCAGCTGTACTGTCCACAAGCACATCAATGTGCGGGAGTGGAAAATCATCTTTAGGACTAGCTTTGTTCAGATCTCGGTAGTCAACACATACTCGAACCCGACCGTCTTTCTTCATCACTGGGACTATATTAGCGACCCATTCTGAGTATTGGGTAGTCTCAATAAATCCCACGTCAAGAAGCTTCATGACCTCTTCCTTGATTTTCTTCGCCAGTTCTGGCTTAGCTCTTCGCGGCCTTTGTTTCACAGGCTCAACCGAAGGATCAGTCGGTAGACAATGTTCGACGATCGATCGATCAAGACCCGGCATATCAGCATAAGACCAGGCAAAGATGTCTTGATAATCCTTCAACAACTGGGTCAAGCGTTTGGCCACATCTTCAGGAAGACATGCCCCAATCTTCACCTCTCTAGGATTCTCCGTGTCGCCAAGGTTGATCACCACGGTTTCTTCGGCGGTCAGAGGCTTAGATTTCTCATGGATTTCCAAGTTCCGTCGTATCTCTTCATCATTCGGATTAGAATCATCTGAGTCATTGGATTGGCTTGCATCACATATATGAAGGTCCACGATTCCCGTCCCTTCGCATGCCTCGAGATTAGTCCGTAGATGATAAATTTTTCAATCGTTGGTTATCGTTATCGGGTATTATGAGGATGAGGGGGATCCGTGGCAAATTACCTGCAAAAAGCAACGGTGGAATAAATACGATAAGTAAGAATAACGAGTCGGTCCATGACATCCTCTAGACCCTCAAGACGAAATTTCTTTCGAAAGACCGATTCATCCAGTAAATCCCGAAATTCCGAATTGCTTTATTCAATAAAAACCTGGACTGATTCCAAAATTAGCTTAATGTTTCTCATTGAATTGCCCAAAAAGGAAGATGTCTCAAAAGAATTCTTAGAAAGATCGTCCAGCAACATTTATTACCAAAAAACATCAATAGCATGAAGTACAAATGTAAGCTAACATTCCATCCTAAAAAGAAAGAAAAACTCCCTAAACCAAACTAGAAATCAGATAGTCTTCCTCTTTTTAGAGGCTACGTGATCTATAGACGAATGGGCCTTCAAGGCGCGCCGTAATCGTGCATTCTCTTCAGCCAGAGCATCTGCCTTATCTTGGGCATTCGTTGCCTTTTCTTCACTGATTTTGATTTGAGTCTGAAGGGTATGCTGTACTGTCACGACCGGGATCTTCAGGAGTATCTCAGCCGGGATGGTATGATGCTGAATATACCGGGCCGTGGCAAAGTAACTCTTCATCCTTCCGATGGGCTCATCCGCGGGCCAAATCAGCTTCTGAGTGGAACAATTCTTCCAAGCCTCAGAATGACGCCTAAGCTCGACTCTGTAGGACTCGTCCTTCTCGAACTGGACTTGAAATTCATTGGGCCTGAGTGGAGGTGGGACATCCTGCAGAACTCGGAATTGACGTGTAACTCGAAGGGGCTGATAGCAGGTTGCCCCATAAATGCCCATCAAAGGTACGGGCTTCTGATCGCCATGGTATAGTCGAGCTTCCACCTCCTGAAACTACACAGCTTGCCAAAGGAAAATCTTAGAGCTTGGATCCTTGAACAGATGGACCCATTGTGTATAATGCAAGCTCTTAGTTTGATCTTGTATTTGTTTGAACCTTAAAATAGGGTTACCAGTCATGTCCATTTCAAATACATTCATATTTTCCCTAAATTGAGAAAGGTGTGAGAAAAGCCAGCTTTGTAAAAGCTCAATCGGGGCTCGAAAAGCTCTATCTTTCCTTTCTTGAATCGTGTCAGAGACATGAAAGTTTCTGCCAGAATTGTGTTTATAAAACTAACTCCACCACATATTTGTTTTACCGTCCTAGCTATCACCGGATCAATAGCATTTTGACGGAATGGAAAAACGATAAGTCCAAAAAAAACTAAGATAAAAATTTTAGATCTCATGAGGACGGAGTTATTTTCGAAACATTCAATAAGAAAAGATAATGGGCATGCTTGACAATTACCCTTTAATACTTTTTCAATTTCCTTTTTAGTCAAATTCAAAAATTCAGCAAGCACTACCACAGGATCTACCTTAATGGGTGGTTCGACTATATCCAACTCAATCGATTTTCCAATGGCAATACTGTATTCTTCCAGAGTCGGTGTGAGCTCAAACTTACCTCCCAACATAAATGTGGTTGTCTCGGGGCACCAAAAATGAGCGAGTGCCTGCATGATTCCGCTCTGGATGTCTATGTCTAGGATCGGCAACATGAATCCAATGCGCTTGAGAACGTACTGCTGACCATCTGGCTTCAACTGGCTCCATAACTTCTTGAGCTCTAGCTTCGGAGTAGGCACGAAACGGATATCAAGGCGACCCATTCTTATATAGACCACGTGCCAAATGATTCAACCTAAATCATGGACCGACTCAAAATAAGATGAAGAAAATCAAAGATAAAGCTCGAGAAATTACCGTCTTTGGGGAGAAAATGTCAATCACAGAGACATGCACATGGATCGTGAGTTTAAACCTTAATCTATCTATCCTAAAGGCTTTGGCAAAATGAAATGATGAACGGAATGACATGTCGCAGCCTCGCGCACAATCATCATGACTAGTCGCAGCCTCGCATACAATAGTCATGACTAGTCGGGTCCAATCACTTCGGCTCGGTTCGGTCGACAAGGTTAACCTCCATGCATTGTAGCCTCACGTGCATGAGGGCGACCGTTGAGCCATTTTTTGAAAAATTTTCGGCATCCAAATGGGATAACCTTTAGCGAAGTCTTACTGCCAAGGTTAAAGAACCATTTAAATACCATCTTAAAACTATGGGTGTGACCCAGGTCCGGTCACAGGTTGTGTGTGGTGTAGTGCAAATACTGTAAATCATGCACAACAATTATAAGCAAACAACGCTCCAATAGTGCAAAAATTAAATCACAATTCCACCAAACCTGCAAAACAATGGGTTAGCCAATCACTACTCCCCTTATAACTCCCATCCTGCAAAACCATTTAACACCTAAGAATGAGAATTCAATCAAATTTTGTCAAATCGAGTGATTTTTCCATAAAAATTTTGGCCTAAGTCCTCCTTAAATTTTTTTTTAAAAAAAATTCAAGTTCTCCCCAGCGGAGTCACCAAGCTGTCGCGACCTAAAAAAATCAATCGGGTTTCGATCTTAGGCTAATGGATTACTAGGTCAATTAAATTAACTAACCTAGCTCGAGTTCTCCCAAACTCTACCAAATCGCAACTTAGGTCCAATTGTGAGCATGCAAATATTTTCAATGGGAGTTGCCACTAATCATTTAGGGTAGGTTGATTAGAAACCTAAATAAAATAGCGGGAGTACTATTTTATTTCTACGAACTAGAAATTATAGATTCGGGGACTTGGTTACGCTAAATTCCTTAACGCCCTTTCGGTACCAATTTCAGGAAAAATACTCAATTTGACAATTTTGATAAATCTTGACTTAGAGTTCAAAGGTGCAGAAATTTTCTTTTTTGATTTTTTTTTATTTAAATGAAAGCTAACCTATATGTAATGGCGTGCAAAAAATTGACATGCGATTAATGCAACCTAACATGTAAACTATATGTCATGCGACGACGTAACCTATTTCTAATGACGGGCATATTATTTTTTTTGTATTTTTTTTAATGAAATTCGGAATTAAAAATGCCAATTATCTAAACATGCAATTTTAAACTAGAGAAATTAACCTATTCTAGAGTAATCTTTTTGGTATTTTTTTTTATCGAAATTCGAAATTAAAATCCAGTAAAAACATATAACCGCTAAATCTTTCGAATTAAGTTTCGATCTGAAGCCTGACAGATCGATCCTAAAATTCGAAATACCCGCTATGGAAATAACTCTATCTAAAGCCTGATAGATAGATTTATTTCCACGTGTGCGGTTGCGGATTAGGAAATTTTCCTAATCGATCACATCTTGAAAAAATTTAAATATCTCAAATATCTTGGATATATTCAAAGGATTTTGAAAATTCTAAATTCTATCCCAATTTGATAAGATCAGATATCAAATATTTCAAAAAAAAAAGAAATAAAATCCTAATTGGAATATGCTTATTACTCGAATATGCAAAATTAGATATCAATAAGCACAAATTAGGCAAAAAAATATTCGAATCAAATCGGGATAAGATAATTACCTGATTTGCAGATTTCTTTCCTAATTTGAATTTGCAGCAGATCGGGATTGCGGATCGGGATGGTGACCGGGGGGTGCGTCGGCAGCGGCGGCGCGATGTCGGGAGTGGCGGTGACTCGCGGCGGCGGCTCGCGGCGGTGACACGGCAGGGACAGCGGCGCGGCGGGCGTCTCCGGGCAGCGGTGCAACGAGCAGCGTCGGCGTCTCCGGGGCAACGGCGCGGTAGAGGCAGCGGCGCAACGATGGTTGGCACGGTGGTGCGGGGGCGACTCGGCTAGGCTTCGAGTTCACGGACAAAGCAGCGACAGTGGGCTCATTCACTGTCGTGGTTGGCACGATGGAACGATGATTGATGGTTGACGCTCGATCGGAATACCGGCGGTGCTTGATGGATGATCTACTCGCGGTTGTGCAATTCACCAAATCGGAGGAACGCAGAGGAACATGGATGGCGGGGCCGCGAGACGCGTGGACAGCCGCAAGGAATTGTGGACAGAACGTCCACTTTGTCCTTCACCTCTCTTTCTCAGTAAATTTGTCGTCGTCTGTCTTGTCTCTTCAGTGTGTAGACTTTGATCGAGAGAGAAAGTTACTGGTGGAGGTCTTCTCCATGCCAAAATCTTGTGCGCCTTGCGTGACCAACAGGAAGGAAGAAGACCTTTTTTCTTTCTTGTCGTCTTCTCTGTGAAGCCCTCCAAGGAATCGTCTCTTTCTCTCTCTGTTGTGTTACCCAGCTCTCACGACTCTCTCTCTAAAAATCTGATCTGAAATTATGAGAGCCCCCTTTAATTATGACACATAACGATGTATTTATAATGTAAACCTAGGTCAATTAACCGGGCTTTCTAGTCCTAATGGGCTTAGGCTTGGGCTTAGGCTTTAATTATCATTTAATTTCAAGTGGGCTGAATTAATGTGGGCTTTTATTTAATTAAGCATAATGGGCTAATTTAAGCTCAAATTAAGACAACCAAGCCCTTCTGACTTGTAATTTTCGGCCCATGCTTTCCGAGTGAGCCGAGTCTCGTTTGATGTCCGAGCTCAATTTACATGACGAATTCTAAGCTCGCTTGCCACCGCCAATCCGATGCGGAATGCAATTAATATATATGAACCTAAACTATATGCTATGCAATTTTAATATTTTTGTTTAGGGGTCAAAATTTAATCCCTAATTTTCTATGCAATTAACCACTAAATGATGTGCCGAAATTTAGGTGTCAACAAGTTCCAGCAGCAAGAGGAGTAAGAAGGTCAAAAATCATACTCATAAAGGAACTCCTGAAACCACCAGTCATTCTGACCATCTGGGTCCTAAGATAGCACATTGAAAAAGGATGGTGTTCATTGCTACTTTTATAGGAAGAAGGGTCACGTGAAGAAAGACTGCAATAGATATAAAACTTGGTTATCCAAGTGTGAGCATTCAGGTATTGATTCTTTGGCACTTGTTTGTGAATCCAACCTATTAGAAGCCCCATCCAGTCCTTGGTGGCTAGATAGCGATGCAACTAATCATGTTGCGTTTACCATATAACGATTCACAAACAGAAGGAAGCCAAATCAGGATGAATCAAAACTCACCGTAGGAAACAACAAGAAAGTCGACGTTGAGTTCGTAGGAGATGTCATTTTAATTCTGGATTCTGGTTTTAATATGATGTTAAGAAACAACTTTTATGTACCTTCCTTCAAACGGAACTTAGTTTTTGTATCTTGTTTGGATGTGTGTGGCTACTCTTTTAAAATAAAGAACAATGTTGTTTCTATGTTCTTTAATTCAAATAAGGTTGGGTGCTGCAATATATCAAATGGCTTGTATAGATTGTGTTTGCCTCCCAATAAAATATACGTCGCTCATACAGCTGAAAAGGTCGTTTCTAAAATACCTCTACCTAAGGAACAGTCTTATGCATTGTGGCATAAACAACTTGACCACATTTCTAGAGAAAGTGTGGAAAGGCTGATAAAGTCCGACATCTTGCCTGCTCTTAAAGGTGACCTAAATACTTGCGTAGACTGTTGCAAAGGTAAGATGACCAAGATAAAGAAGAAAGCCGCAATCGTAGTTCTGACCTATTGGAGGTCATTTACACAAATATTAGTGGACTCTATACAGCAACATTGTGTAGAAATTTTTATTTCATCATTTTTATTAACGACTATTCCCGATATGGTTATCTCTACTTGATTAAAAAAAAGTCTGAGTCTTTTAACAAGTTCAAGATTTTTCGGACTGAAGTCGAGAAACAGTTGGGAAAAGTCATAAAGATTGTCAGGTCTGATCGGGGTGGTGAGTATTATGGTAGACATGGCAATGCTGGACAGCTTAAAGGGCCATTTGCTAAATATTTGGAGGATTATGGGATAGTGGCTCAGTTTACTATGCCCGGGAGTCCTGAACCGAATGGTGTGGTCGAAAGGCGGAATCGCACCTTATGGACATGATGAGGAGTATGATTAGTAGGACAAACTTACCTGGTTTTCTGTAGGGTGAAGCTTTGAAAATAGCGTTCTACATTCTAAACCGTGTTCCTACCAAAGCTGTTCCATTGACTCCTTTTGAGTTATGGACTGGACGTAAACCTAGCTTGAATCATCTTAAAGTCTGGGGGTGTCCTGCAGAAGTAAGGTTATACAATCCAACATTGAGCAAGTTAGAATCCAGAACCACTCGGTGTTACTTCGTATCGTACCCAGATCATTCGAAGGGGTATCGGTTTTACAGTCCCCATGGAGGCACAAGAATTGTAGAATCATAGACAGCGAAGTTTCTGGAATTTGATGTGGCCGAAGAAGGTAGTTGCTCTTAGACTATTGAGGATAACGATATGGTAGGTACTAATGTGTCTTTCTCTCTATTTATACAAATGATAATGGAGACCCCTACACCATAGACTGAGCCTGTTGTGGTCCAGGATCCTATTATTGAAACAGTTCCTGATGAAGTACTTCAAGCCTCTCATGTGTAGGATGAGGTTGTAATAGCTCCACTAAGGAGATCTATCAGGCAGAGACGATCGGCTATAACACCAGATTATATGGTTTATATGGGAGAGCATGGCTACGATATAGGCTACGTGGTTGATCTAGTAACTCATTAAGATGCTGTTTCTTGATGGGTGGATGCAATGAAAGACGATATACAGTCTATGAAACATAATGATGTTTGGGAACTTATTGAATTGCCTAAAAGTTACAAGCCTGTTGGCTGCAAATGGGTGTACAAAACTAAAAGGGACTCCAAAGGAAAGATTGAGAAGTTCAAAGCCAGACTGGTAGCCAAGGGTTTCACTTAGAAAGAAGGAGTAGACTATGAGGCAACTTTTTCTCCAATCTCTTCTAAAGATTTTTTCAGAGTGATCATGGCATTAATAGCTCATTTTGACATGGAGTTACACCATATGAATGTTAAGACTGCCTTTCTGAATAGAGACATTGATGAAGAAGTCTATATAGTGCAACCCGAAGGTTTTACAACTGATGATTCAGGTGTGCTTGTGTATAGACTGAAAAAGTCTATTTATGGCCTCAAACAAGCTTCTAGATAATGGTACTTGAAGTTTTATAGTGTTGTCACTTCATTCGGTTTTATTGAAAACAAGTTGGATCAATGTATATACAGCAAGGTCAGTGGGAGGAAATTTATTTTTCTCATACTCTATGTAGACGATATCTTGCTTGCGAGTAGTGATATTGAATTACTACATGAGACAAAGCGAATGTTGTCGAAGAATTTTGACATGAAGGACCTTGATGAGGCGTCTTTTGTCCTAGGCATTGAGATCCATAGGGATCGTTCTCGCCGAGTATTGGGTTTGTCTCAGAGGACATATGTCGATCATATTTTAGAAAGATTCAGTATGTAGCACTGCAAGCTAGGAACTGCTCCTGTCGTAAAGGGTGACAAACTGAGTTTGTCACAGTGTCCTCATACAGATGTTGAGAAAACTCAAATAAAGGATATACCTTATGCTAGTGCACTTTGAAGTATCATGTATGCTCAAGTTTGCACTAGACTAGATATTGCTTTTGCAACAGCACTTCTAGGCATATATCAATCAAATTTAGGACACGATCACTGGGTTGCTGCCAAGAAGGTTTTGAGGTACTTAAAGAGGACAAAAGACTATATGCTGATCTACAGATATGTTCAGGACTTACAGCTGATAGGGTATTTGGATTCAAACTTTGTTGGCTGCTAGGATGAAAAGAAGTCGACAACAGGTTATGTCTTTAAGTTAGCAGGAGATGCAATATCATGGAAAAGTGAGAAACAGAAATCAATGACATCCTCTACCATGCAAGTGGAGTTTGTAGCATGCTTTTCGGCTGCAACTCAGGTAATTTGGCTCCGGAACCTCATTAGGGAGTTGACCGTTTTTTATTTTATGGATAGGCCCATACAGTTGCATTGTGACAATAACTCTGCAGTGTTGTTAACAACAACAGAGGTCTCATGGGGTTTAAGCATATGGAGGTCAAGTACTTGACCATAAAGGAAAAACTTAGGGATGACGACATTACAGTAGAGCATATTTCCACATATGATATGGTAGCAGATACACTAACTAAGGGCCTTCGCCCCTGTATATATGAACAATATGTCGTTAACATGGGTTTAGGAGTATCATGGGATGCTGTTGTTTAGTGGTAGTTGCTTTTGTCTTTGCTCTAATAAAGTTTACATCCGTGTTTTGTTACATTTAGTAACATTTTGGATGTGTATCAACTCATTTGCATTCAATAAGGTGTTTTTGAATGCATTATTGTCATGTTGAATACACATAAAAGGTGAAAATATTAAGGTACTGTGTAAACCTTGAGTAAAGGCTATGGGCATTCAGTTATTAGCCTTAAGGATATGTCTTATTACACATAAAGTAATGTTAACAATAAGGATAGGACATATGTAGGTTCATTGGAACCATAAAGATATTCTCTAGTAACACATCAGGTTTTTGTGATACTTAAGGAGAAAGAACGTAGACTGACAAAGGGGATGACACACAAGGTATAACTCTTTATGAGGTGTTATCCGTTTGCCACACAACCATATCGAATCCTTA